CAAAGTTATAGAGAGTAGGTAATAAAACAAATCTGCGTTGTTCTGTGTGGGCTTTTAACTCCAGGCCTCCCGGCTGTTAAGTGCACGGGTTTTCATATACACAATGAACGTATATATAACCATATTCTCTCTCTCCTTTCTGCATGCCTTCGTGGTGTAACGGTTAGCATACTCGGCGCGTATTCGAGAGGTCCAGGTTCGAGTCCAGGCGAGGCATTGTTCATTTTTCACGTTTCCTGCTTCAAAATAAACTAATGTCTCCACAGTGGCGCCCGAATTAAACGGTGGTGAATGATGATTCTTCACCATCAGGATTTGGCAATTGGGTCCCCTAATCCACAGTCTTTTAAATGGGGTTATATAAGATATTTTCTTCCTCCTTTCTTCATGCCTTCGAGGTGTAAAGGTAGCACACTTGGCGTATATTTAAGAGTTCCAGGTTCGAGTTCCAGCGAAGGTATTGCTCAGTTTTTCATGTCTCCAGCATCAAAATAACCTAATCATTCTACAAACGCAAGTAGCAAACAAGGAGAAAAATCACTTACATACAGGGCCGGCGGAAGCGGGTCTACAAGGCCTTCTTTGCGGACCAAAAGAGGGACGCAGACCAGCCGACGTCACAGAGGTCTTTTTTGTTTTGTTTTAATGCAAAAGAATATGCACTTACCGGGGAAGAAAAATAAATGCATCTTGAATGCTACACAGAACAGGGAACCATGGGCATTTGCGCCCTCGAACTTTCCACTCCAGCCCACACAGATACCTTGCCACCCATCTATCAGTCGTTAGGTACAGTGTCACACAAAGAAGTTCAAGTTCCGAAAGCCATGGAATTCAAGCTGTGTAATCTATGTAAATCAAAGTTTAATCTATGTAATACCGTACACCGACTACACTCGCAAACGTTGTGCATTACTCAAAATAACCCTTCTGAGCACCTAGTACAGAGGACAGGTGACAGGGCGCCAAAGCCAGAGCCCTCGTCCTGGTACATGCCTTTCGAAGTTAGGATATCCGGGCCTTGGAGACCCCTCAGTGGTGGCGCAGACCCCCCACAGTCCCTGCCCGGCTTTATACGTATATAATGGTCATTTTCCATGTGTCTAGAAAGCCACGTATAATGTATCATCTACACATTCCTTCTTCATGTTTATTGAGTGCTTGGCGAAGAAAATTTTCTATGTACAATAACCTTATTACGATTGGGAAAGAAAAATTCATTTGATGAAGTTACGTACTTACTTTATTTTACTTAATACAATTTATATTTATCCTTATTTAATGGATTTAATTATATTTTTATTTAAAATGTGTACAGTGAAATACGGCTTTATTTTTCCTAGAAAAGTTTTCTGAGGGTGGTAAAAAGAGTAACTGATTAGCCCTTTCTATGAGGGCAAATTTGTCATTTTCCCATATGTAAGAATGAACACAGGTGTCAACTTTTCTTTTTCTTCACGGGAACTGGAAGGGGGGCAAGATTTGCATGGACGAAAATTCAAAGTCGTATATAGGATTTATTTTCGTCTTTCGTGGGAAAGCGGGTTGCAAGAGTCTAAGCCCAAATTCGCAAAGTTTATACAATTTATTTAATGACTAGACTCCCCAATTAAGCATCTTGGTGTGTTCGTGCATGTGTTTGTACAGCAAAGCAAAAGGGATATAAAAAGCTGCTTGAGGAGCTTACCCATTAGGCACGTAGGCAGGGGGAGTGCGAGGTAAAAAACTGACGTTTTCTACTCAGTTATTTTCGTAAAACATTGAAAATCGTTATTAGATCTTTAATTTTAAGTTGGCTTCTGCGGCTTCGCCTTGAACCCTGCTGGGGAATGCTGCATCGAATCCCCTGTTAACCTTATCCTTCTCTTTAACGGTTGAAATTTCAAAATTTGATTAATTCCCTCGAGCTAAAAACGGAATTGTCTACATTGGTCATTTAAGCTTGGGTTTACAACACACAGTAGAATTCATGGCAGTTGTAAACATATATTTTTCTCTATATTAGCAAACCATTTTGCACTTCCATCCTCTGAAAATTTCCGATTACGTGCCTGGTACGCATTCTCCCCCTCCTTCTAGTTCTTTGGAGAAAATCTGAATCCGCTCAACTAGAAGGCATCTGAGATGTTGCATATAATTTTAGGGGTAGTTTTAATGGTTGTTTCTTCAAAATATACGAATAGTATTTATATAGAAAGCTGAACTTCAAAATATCACTGTGCCATTCTAACTGTGTCATTATCTAAAACGGGACAATATGTAAAATTGTGGGGTGTGTTTTGCGCCATTGATCATGTGTGATGAAAGATATATTTCTGGTAATTAGTTCGTATCCGCCAATAAAAGCTATATTGAATTCGGCCACATCTGTCTACAAATGTTTCCCTTGAGTGTCGTCTTTCCAACTGCACAGTAAAGTCTCCCTTGGATATAACGCAGAGAACCACTGCCAGTCTGTTGCGGCTTATTACCAGTCATCATATTAGATACATCATATTAGATACATTATTTTGGTAGTCTTCTGTTCATACTGTAACGAATTTTGTATAATGTAATGAACGGCTTCAAAAAAAGCAAAGCTCTGACAGAAAAATAAGTTTACAGGGGCGTGTCTATTTAACACTGAGGTAAATAGCTATCTCGCTAAATTGGCACATTCTGACAACCCTAATTGCCACATTCTGGAAACCCTAAATCCGCCTTGCGGGGAAGCTATCTTACCGCAGCTGAGCATTTCTCAACAATATTTTAAAGTTTAAAAGACTTTTAATGGTTAATTCTTTCCTTGTTATTAATCTTAATTTTTGTATTGAGATAATTTTTATCATATTCTAAAAAGTATTGTGTTCTTTTTAGACAGATGATGATCATAGAACGATATACATATTTCTTGTAGGCTTCTGTTATGCATAATTTTGTATTGTAGAGACATTAGGTAAATTTTCGATGCCAGAGAATAGAAAAATTAGCAATCGCCTTCGCCGGGAATCGAACCACGGACCTCTGGAATACCGGCCCAGCGTGCAGAACCACTACAACACGAAGGACGCTAGGAAAGTGGGAGAAATACCTTATATACTCCCCTTTTTAAAGGGCGACTAGGGTTTTAGGTGACCTAGTCGCCAAATCCTGGGTGTGGAGAATCATCATCCACAACCCTTTTAGTTCGGGCGCCACTGTAGAGACATTAGGTAAATTTTTGATGCTAGGGAATAGAAAAATTAGCAATCGCCTTCGCCGAGAATCGAACCACGGACCTCTGGAATACCGGCCCAGCGTGCAGAACCACTACACCACGAAGGACGCTAGGAAAGTGGGAGAAATACCTTATAGTATCATTTTAAATATTAGATAAATAACGGCTATCTCGAAAATAATTAATTGTAGAAAATTTGAAAAACAAACTTCTACGAATGTATTTAATAAAGTATACACTATTCTAATTTGATTAAATCTTTTAATGCATACTGATAATTTTTCATGTATTAATCTTTAATAATGTTTTAAATTTAGCTTTCACGTAAGCTTTCATGATACATTAAATTCAAATTCTTATTAATTATTCGTAATGCATGAAATTTAATTATTCTAAAATTATGAAATTTTAAACGAATTGAAAGGAAATCTTATAGGATAATTTTAAAGGACATCAACATGTCAATATTTTGAAAAGTGGACTTTCATTAACGGGAATTAATTTGTAGAAACGCACCCTTTTCAGTTTGACTTAATGGAGTACCGTGACCACTTCTTCATTACTTTTCTTCGTGATGACATAGAAGGTGAAAAGAGATCAATTGTATGCTCTTCCCAAACAGTAGCTGACTGTCTAGATCTTAGTTGTCGCAATAATGAATGGGTTCTAACCTCCTTGGTGTTATCCATGGTTATCCAGGCGGAGAGCAACGCCACCTTTTTCGTATCTTTTGGAAAATCCCTCAGCAAATAATTAGTGATTTAAAAGTTTTAATTAAAAGTAGGTTTTCTTACTTTTTCTAGTTCTGTAGATATAAGTTTTCAACGCTAATTTGTACATATTGTTGCGTGCGTACGGGTTCGTAATAAATTGAATGAAATTGAATAAATTGAATTAAAATTGTAATAAATTGAATGCACAAGTCCGATGAAAAGTGAATAAAATTTATTCTTATCAAAACAAATAAAACAAAATGCTGAAATTTCCTCAGAGATATTCGTACAATATCGCAATATCTCACAGTAGTTATACTTTAAACTACTAAAACGTTGAATAGAATTCAAAACACTGAGAAAGGTAATCCGATCTCACCGCGCATTCGCTACAATCAATAACAGCACTAAGTAAGCAAGATGTTTTCCGCCAGCTTTTATATGCTTTTTAATCCTGCACGAGAATATTCTGGTATTTTCTCGACTTTTCTGGATAGCAAAAGAGTACAATTACGATTTATCCAGGGGCGTAGCTAGAGGGGGGCGGCAAGAGGGGACATCTGCCCCTGGGCGCAGCATCCAAGGGGCGCCAAATTGATATTACGAAGTTTTAGAATTAAATGTTTTCCATCCTTGGCAAGCAGTAGGGGCGCGAAATCTTCAGTTGTCCCTGGGCGCTGAAAACCCTAGCTAAGACTCTGGATATATCTGCTTATTAAAATGTGAAATGCGCGTGCTCTTGTATTTGAATTTTTCCGGTGTAGCTTTCTCTTCAAAAACGTCTCGTGCTGCATTTCACGGGAAGATAAAAAAATTTAACTACATATTCTATTCTACTAAAAATAGCTAAATAAATACAAAAACCGTAACACAATTTTTAATGCCCTTATTAATATGTAAACTTATTCTTTTAATTTATAATGCATAATACTATATTGCGATTATAAGTTATGTAAAAGGAATTCCTTATGCTTTAATACCCAGTTATGGATCTTAATAAAAAATGAAAATAAACTAGTCATGGGATGTTATCTTCGGACGCCTAGTCATGTGTTATGCTTTTGAATTTCGTACTTTCAAATGTCAGTTCAAATTGTCTCTCAACTCTTGCTTAAATCTCTTTATCTCTCCTACTTCAGTTCCAGTATTTATGTTATGTCAGTTACGAATTGCTATGCATTTTATTTTGATATTTGAACGTGATTAAGAGATTTTAAATAAGTTTTTAAATTTTACAGTTAGTTTACTTTTAGTTTAATGCCTAAGACACCGGTTACGAATACTTAAACATAAGCATGACGTACGTTGAAGAGGGAGTTGTTAAAGATATGTCTTCATCAGCGTTTTTAGCAAGTGTAATACTTGACATTTTATCCAGCCCACTTAATTTAGCTCTTCTAGCTGTATGTGTGTTTCTGCTGTACAAAATATTTTCAGGGGCAAAGGCAGATGATAATCCTTCTCCACCTTCTCCTCAACTTCCTCCTATGAAGCGGAGAGATATGACATATGAAGAACTGAAAAAATATGATGGTCACAATGAAGAAGGAAGAGTTTGTGTTGCTGTAAATGGAAAAATTTTTGATGTTACCAAAGGCAAAAGATTTTATGGCCCAGGTAAATTATACGTTAGTTTAAAATGTGTTGTAAAGTATGTGTTACAGATGTTTCTCGTGGCCCAAAGATAACATAAAAGTTGTGACTATATTATGTAATATTTATGAAAAGTCTTAAAGAGATAAATACGCAGAAGTTCAAAAGTATCACAATTTAGCTTGTCTGAAAATGGATTAAAATATGTTACTTAGAAAATTTGCAAAAATTTTTTAAAGGGTCTTTTTGTGTGTGTTATTAAATTGAGTTGCAAACTAAAATTTAGTTTTAGGATCTTTACAGCAATAAGTATAAGGTTTAGATAAATGTGAATGTTAATAAATGTAATAATCTAATTTTGTAAATGTAAGCAGTTGCATTAATTCTCCTTCTGTTAATTAACTTTTGAGCATATAAGAAATTGAGAACTGTTGCATATTAAATGAATTCAAGAGAGTACCTGTTTTCCTTTTGTAAAATTCAACTAAAATGTTAATATTCTTTAGTTAGTTTCTGAAATACATTTGATAGAAAGAGTTCTGTTAATGTAGGTATGCCTGCTCAAAATAGCATTTTTCTCAAACTCTGAAAATATGTGCGTGAAAATGACTAGTAAAAAGTTAAGTATTCGAAGACTAATAAACTTACTGCCTCTTAGTAGTTAAGCTTAATTAACTGATCATTAATAACTTTTATAACACTGTTAATTAATCATATAATTTTTGCTGTGAAGTATGGTATTCATCATATTTAAGCATAATTTATGTACTGCACTATCCATTAAGTCTTTAATACTTACAAATTGTACTTTATTAAGCGTTATTAGAAAAGCTTTTTTTTTTTTTTTTTTTTTTTTTTTTTTTGTTGTTGTGTGTGTGTGTGTGTATTTTAAACATGGTAGGATTTAGTTCTAGGTAAAATCCTAGTATACGGTGCAGCCTTGGCACGATTTTAAAAATTATCGCCAACACCAAAAATGACCCAAAAAACGTCTAGGTATATACTATACACTATCACTATGTACATAGTATATACTATGTATAACTACATGTATTCTTTGAATACCCGTTTTCTACTTCATCGTGTATGTTCCGTTTGTACTGCTCATCATAAAAGTCGTCAAAAGTAGCCAAATCCCGTGTGCACCGGATACTAGGATTAAACCTAGTTCTATTCTACAGAAAATATGAAACATGCTGCAGCAGAGGGAGGAACTATGTTTTTTTTTTGGGAGGGGGAAGGTAACTTCTATGTTAGCGATGTGCAGTGTGGTATTTTTATGTTTAGGAGCAAGGAATATAGTTAACTGCCAAATGTGATTCTTCACATCGTCAATTGAGGTTATTGGTAGAAATCCTTTCTCTCGTTAGAAATTTACAACTATTGTATGACAAGCTTCAAATTTTCAGATATAGAAATTTAACAAAAATTTTGTATTTTATCACTTGCACACACACAGCAAATGCCAAAATATTGTTTTTCCCAGGGAAAAGTTATTTTGACAGATCATAGGATTTACGTTATGCTAATAATCATGATGGAAAAGTAATATGAAAAATGGTACTTTTCCATTATCAGAAGTGAATTTAGATATGTTTCCGAATTCTTTGTGAATTTCTGAGATTTTTCTGTGTACACACACATACATACATTTGCAAATATGTACACACCTATATACATACATACATGCTTGCATATATTTCTGAATCTGGTCCTGACAGTCGTAGCTAGGGTTTTCAGCGCCCAGGGACAACTGAAGGTTTCGCGCCCCCTACCGCTTGCCAAGGATGGAAAACATTTAATTCTAAAATGTCGTAACATCAGTTTGGAACTCTCCTTGGATTCTGCGCCTGGAGACAGATGCCCCCTCTTGCCCCCCTCTAGCTACGCCCCTGGGTCCTGATAACAGAAAAGGATACCCTTCTGTCATCGGGACCAGATTCAGAAATGTATGTATGTATGTGCGTACATGTGTGTGTTTATGTATGTTTATATGTACCTATATATTTACATGCATCCCCTAACATATTCATCCATACATTTCTGAATCCAGACTCGATAATAGAAGAGTACCTAGAAAAGTACCATTGAAACATATATGTATAGACTGAAAGCAAGAAAGAAAAGCTAATCTGAGTTGTTTCTCCTATTTATTGCTTATTGTTTTTGTACCTGTTTTAAGAACAAATTTCTTAATGGGGTGGCATTTTAATGATTTTAAAGCTTTTATTTATTTTTGTATTGCATTTTAAGTTATGGATCTTTCTATGCTGCATTAATTTCTTTACTGGACTGTTAGAGAATTTTTTAATGACATATAAAATCTTAGATTGTGGCATGTTGAAAAAAATTAGGCAGTATAGTATTATTAACAAGAAAGTATCCGATTTCGTTATTAGAGTGGCTGCTGGCCAGAATACAGTAGTTAATTACAGGTAAAAATTTGATCAGTTTTTAATCATGAAATTTTTTATCTGGATCCAAAAAGGTTTCAAATTTTCCGTTGAATGGACAAAATCTATTCACCAGTCCTTTATTTTTTTCATTCAGTACATATACTTATTATTATTCCGCCTGCTTCACCTGTCAATGGGCACTGCATGTCAGTCATGTTATCCTGATCATTGGAACAAGCTTTTTTGGTTGTTTTATCTCTTCAACCTTATTATTGATAAACAGATTTAACACTAGTGTAATTACTTTTGTTGGGTGCTCCAGCTTACAATGTATTGGGTATGTTAGAACGGTACAAAGTCCAAAATCCTGACGTCCATTATCCGGAATTATCTAAAATCCGGACCTCAAAGCCACAAGCATTTTTTTTTTAGTATGCTTCAGATGCATGCGCATTTGATTTTTCCTTCCATGATAAAACGTGGAGATTTTCACTTACAAATTCGGATTCTTAATTTCACTTAAGCATTAAATAAAATACCTCGTTATGGAAAAACAATCATGTAAACATAAATTTGTGAGATTAATAATTTGGCTGTATAGCTCAGTATCTGCTTGGCATACATCTCAAACGTTCCGTTCACCTCTGTTCGCCGTGCTTACCTAAACCATTCACCTATTTTATACCCCTGATGCCGACCTGGCGAGTCATTATTTATTATATTTTGCTTTCATCACCTCTTGTTTATCAATACATGACAGCTTCAGTAATAACTCATGCAGTGATGTGTAAACTTTTTTATATTAGTAATTGAATAACAAGAGTGTGGCAACCTTTTATGCCAACATTACGCTTGGCGACGATTATAGATTTTTAAATGCTTTAAGAAATGTTGACAAGGAAAAATTCGACAAAAATTTCTTTTCATATGCTAAAAATAGATTTTGTTAATGAAACTCATAGGCCAAAAGATTACATTTAGTATTATTTTAATTAAGCATAACTGTTATATTATTCACCATAAACCCAGAAGCGGCGGCAGAATATGTCGGCACCGGACGGCAGAATTTATGGAAGACGAAATTTTTGAAATTTGGGGAAACACTAAGCGGGAAAATTAAGGGATGAGAAATTTTTTATGATTTAGGGAAAGCACTGGGATGTAAAGTTTAGGTGCAGTGAAAATTTAAAACTTAGGAAGCCACTTTGTAGCAGAATTTGGGACCTGTAGAGACTGCACTATGCGGTATTTAGCGCCGGCCCTAGATAAAGTGTTAAGTATATGTGTGAGTTAATTCAGGACTCAGATTAGTTTTAAACATATAAGAAATAAACATAAGTATAATAAAATAACTAATACAATTCTGGCTTAATTCAGTATGCAATAGTAGCAAGACAAAATTTAACTAAACAACTTCGGTACAGGTCAGTTCGACGCATGGTCAATTCGACACGAGGTCGTTTCGACGTGGGGTCAGTTCGATGCCATACTTTTTTGCTTTTGTGTGACGCCATACTTTTCGCATTTTTATTTATTTTTAGAATAAGTTTGAATCATCATTCAAATAAATTTGGTGTTTCACACCCCACATTATGGGAATTCATAGATGGTCTCAGGCATGTTCAAAAATCAATTGATCAATGTTATAAACAATTTGTGCGTGAAGATGAACCGCCGCACAAGCGGAATAGGTATCTGCGAGTTGATATGAGAATTAAAGTAATAGTTGAAGATTTTGAAAATCGAGAAATAATGGAATACCCGAAAGGTGTGGCACATAATTTGAAATGGTTTAGTATAATAACAGTTCTGTGATGTAATCTTATCTCAAATCTTATTTATGTGTAATCTTATTTATCTGTAATTACTATATTTGTTTGCAATATAACTACTTTGTAACCATATGTTTATTTACCATTTGTGTATTTTGCCTTTTTGATGCTGTTTTGTGAAATAAATAAATAAAAAAAACCATCCCTCATGTCCTGGGGCCTTGACGTTGGTGAGGGGGCTTCTCACTAATCTGGGACACAAACAAAAATCTAGAACTTTTTCACACATATACACACATATATTTATTTCAAATATGCATGCAAACAATCGCTAATTCAATAAATAAAAATCAGTCATATTACTTATTTATATTACTTCATATTTATTCTAAAAATAAATAAAAATATGAAAAAAAAATATGGCGTCAAACTGCCCCTGCGTTGAAACGTATGCCGTCGAACTGCCCCGGCGTCGAACGAAACGACCTGCTTCGAAACAACTTAGCTTTCGTCGCCAATCTTGTGATACACTGCCAATGGTGTATAACGGATGCTATTAAGCTAAGCTAAAATTATCTTTTCTGATTCTAAGGCATGTCAATTAATGTAGTGGACTGCACTGCTCCCTAATCTTTTAGTTTGATCCAGCTTATTATTTTCAGCATTTAGGCATTTAAAGTAAATTGACAAAGTTTGAGCAAGAGAAGTTCATAGCTCATTAAGTGGTTGAAAACTGGTATTAAATATGGAGAAGAAATTTTTTTCAGTTGTGTGTTGATTGACTACAGCTGACAGCAGCTATTGTGATATTAAAATGTATAGATTAACATGAAACTAGATATCAAAATACATTTTGCAAGAAATCTTAAATTTCTGTGTATGCATCATGAACATAATGTTATTCCTGAAATGCATTTTTCAATATATGTTGTAATTTTATTTATTGACACAGAATACTAAATATTGTCCTTATTCTTTTAATTTTTTGTGGTCTAAAATAATTTAATGTTTAAGAAATCATTTTCTTGATTCTTATGTTATTGAACATTCCTGTCATATTTTAAAAATTATTGAAGTTATTTATCAACAATAACTATATATGCAGTAGGAACTTGCAGGTCATAACTGACACCTACTTTAAAATTTTTTCATATTCTGCATTTTGATTTTGTGTTTTAACACTACTGCAAGTTTTTTGACTTCCTGAATAGTGTTATATATAATAAAAAAAAAAAAAAAAAATTTTTTTTTTGCATGTAACCAAATTAAAAGTAAGTTGTATAAATTTTATTATTTTTACAAATTCAATTAAAATTCAAACTCATTTGAAGTAAAATCATCTTTTGTGCCTTGGAATAAAGTTTCTAGATACTGTTTTGTTATCAGGTCTGGATTCAGATATGTATGTATATATGCATGGTGTATGTGTTCATGTATGCATGTATTTATGTTAAGCACGAATATATGTGTATGTATAAGCCACCCTGATAAGATGCTGGCAAAGGGTTGTTTGGTATTGATGCATTCACACAGTTTAAAAAAAAAGGTTGTTTGAGTTTTAATTTCCTAGGGGGGGGGAGAACTTGAGGTTTACCAACCATGCTGTGGACATTAGCTTTCAAATTGCACCTCGGTTATCTTAGAAGCATACACTTTGCTGTCAAAACGTTCATAGACAATACACGTTGTGGTCTCTCTTCAACATTAATTTTTGTTCATGTAAAGTCAGACTCTAAATAATTGTCATCATATTTATATTTTCATTTCTTGACGGTCATGTCATTGGTTAAAGATATGCTTTCTTTGTCTGCACTGTTATGTTAATCGGTTCATCATCAAAGAAACAACAGCAAAAAGTCGTAGACTATTTATCAAAGCCAACAAATAATAAGTTATATAACATTAACTGTACTACATGAACTAATAAATATCACCATTTATTTATATGCAGTGCTGAGTTTTTTTAAGTTCACCAGACTTAGATTATAAACTGACTGACTGAATCTAGCTTGTATGTTTTTCGAACAGTCCAAATCTGTTACAGTTCTTTCAGAACAGTCCAAAGTCACGAAAGGTCTACGCACCTCAACGTGTCTATATCAATGGAACTTAAGTTGAGAACATTGGATATAAAAAAAGTATATGTGTACACTGTAGAATATAGTTCTACCACTTCGAGATGTCATATTGTAAAAATTAAGCTATAAAATACAGTACAAAGTCTCTAATCCAAAGATCCATTAATCCATTATCCGGAATGATCTATAATCCGGACCTCAAAGCCACAAACTTACGCATGCGCATAATGTCCCAATCACATTATGTTTCGGCTACGCGTGACTTGACGTCGAAAGAGATAATTCTCAGAACCTGCACAATTCGGGGAAACACGTAAATAGGTTATACCATTCTCACTTACTACAAAGACTTGAACAGCAAACGGTAATCGATTATCGCTCATATTGGGATCACGTGATCCTTCAGAAGCAGAACTTTCGTCTGATTGGTTGTCTCTACCCGGGACCCGAGACATTTTTGGTGAGGTTTGAAAAAATCCCGCGTAGCCGCAACATTGTATCCATAGCTAGGCGGGACTCTTTTTTTTTTTTTTCTAGGAATCCTCCCGTTTAAACCAGTGCTACCAGAATCTCATTTCTCAGGAAAGTCCCATCTAGCAGGGACTGTAGCCATGTGTGATAACCTCTTAATGCATTTACGCATGCGTGTTTGATGCGCGCATAAAGCCAGTAAAGCGTTTACCCATGCGTGCTTCCGATAGTAAAGAAATTAACTGAGAACATTATTGAAAACGAAAAAATTTCGATTGACAAATTAATCGGTATTCTCGACACAGCAATTACAGGACTTGAACAGTGGACCTTTGTAATTGAACAAGAAATTATGTCTGTTTTTTATAGAATTAAAGAGAAAGTATTAGCACAAAAAACGAAGACCCTTAAACAACTTACAGCGATAGAAATGTTTACTAAAGTGAACAAATAAATATTAAGCTTTTTTTTGTAAATTTTGATATCCTTTAGATCATAATTGCTTTTTATTTCATAAATTATGGTTTCATATTTTTAATTGTATAATTTCTGCATGCCATCTTACCAGATTTAAATTGATGATCTATAATCCGGAATCGCCGAAGTCCCGACGAGTCCGGGTTAAGGACTTTGTACTGTATAAATATTGTAGAGCAAAGAGAATGGAATAAAAAATAGATAAATTATGTTTCATCCAGTTTCTTATTTAAAAATTTCCTAATACAATGTCAATCAGTCGATGACTAATAGTAAGACATCTCTTTTCTTGTCGTTGTCGGCAAAACTGCAAATTTCAGCAACCTCGACACTTGGGGAGAAAAGCAACGAAAGGCATTCACTCATTCATTGAGCGAGAGGAGAAGAAAGCAACTGTTATGGTACCTGCTTCATCTTTGACTCATGCGCATAATTTCAAAACCTTAGAAGGCTGAAAACCACTATGCAGTTCCACTAAGATTATTGTTATGAATGATTTTGTCAAATTATGGGAGCATTTTCCTAATAGATTTAGTAATGAAATTGTTACTTTAGCTGCTGATTTGACTGGCATTTCTGTGACGAGCACAAATCGCATGCAGTCCGATTTGAAAGAAAATCATGGATTTTCTACTCTGGGAAAAAAATTATCTCTGAAAGTCAGTATTCACAAACTGAAATCAAACAACATTATGAGCTAGCTTTAGCAACAATAGGAAATTTCACTGTTTCTTTTCATGGAATAAGCCTTGAAAAGTTCGCCCTAGCTTTGTGCATATTCTCAGATTTAGGTTGTCATGAGATATAGCATGATCGTATGGTGCAATTGAGAAGGCATGCCGCTGCAGGCTCGCGTTTGCAAGAATATTCTGTGTTGGCAAATTTACTTTTGTACAGATTCAAGTAAAAATAAACTGCACAAAATATATAGATATCTAACTAATTGTCGCTTCTCAATTTTTTTTTTTTTTTTTTTTTTTTTTTTTTTTTTTTGTGTGTGTGTGGGGGGGGGCTAAATGCCCCTGTGAATAGGCCATGTCTCCCTGGAGTGCCACTGTACAGAGTTTAGTAATCACTGTTCTAAGACATTACAAATAAAAAGCATACCAGTTTTCTTTGTTGGTATATTAAAGTGTAAAAATTTGCAGCTTTAAGTTTTAATATGTTTGCAGCTTTGTAATAATTTTTTTTCCCTAAACCTTTGGATGCATTTTTTCTTTTCCCTTGTAGGTGGTCCTTATGCATCTTTTGCTGGAAGGGATGCTACTCGTGGCTTAGCAACATTTTCTGTTGTATCTGGAGATGGTTATGATGATTTATCAGACCTCAATTCTATGCAGATGGAAAGTGTCAGAGAATGGGAAATTCAGTTTACAGGTACTAACCAGATCTGACAAATTAATTCATTTCAATTTCATTTTAATGCCATAAATTTAATTTCAGATACTTAGTAAATGAAATTTATCACTGATTCCAGTAAAACCGTGGTGTCCAACCTTTGCTTCGGTGTGACCAAGGCTACTTTTAAAGTTCTGTTATGCCTCATGAACGTTCTATGTTTGGGAAAATTCGCATGTTCACTTTGTGTTCTATGTTTGGGAAATTTGGTTCATAGTTTCATGAAAATGTATGTTTTTACTAGATCCTGTGTTTCCAAATAATAAGAAAAATTAGTGCAAACCTACAAAAAAACTGAAGAAAATTCCCCAATGAAACAGTATAATGTAGGTTTAAACTAATTTTATTTCAAAATAGAAAATAAAGATGAGTACACACTCATCCATACAAGAAAATGTAACTGGTAAATTGTTATCATTAAGTCAGTACTGCATAAACTTGCTATTAATGAGGTACTTGATAATTAATATTCTCTGACAACTTATTAAAATTTGGCATATATTCTGATTGCTGACAGAAGTATGCTGACCCAAAATTGCTTTTACTGTTAGTTCACACCTAAGTATGTTTTTATATTTAATAGAGTCTATTAGTTTAAAAACTCCATTACTTTTATTTTCTGTGATTTTGAGTGATAGAACAGTATAAATCTATTGTTATTCCAGTGCACCAATAAATCTCTTGTTATTCCTGATCATAGTTAGACCAATCATAGCTAGATCATTGTACCAATAAATCTATTGTTATTCCTGATCATAGTTAGACCAATCATAGCTAGATCAGTGTACCAATAAATCTATTGTTATTCCTGATCATAGTATCATAGTTAGACCAATCATAGCTAGATCAGTGTACCAATAAATCTATTGTTATTCCTTATCATAGCCATAGAGCCCTAGTCAATCTATTGTTATTCCTGATCATAGCCAGTGCACTTTCAGTTGTGATTATGAAGAGTTTTTATTGGTACGTTCTCTTCAGTAATATAATTTTTAACTGCATGATATATGTCTTGCCTTTGAGTGTGTTTTGCTAAAGTCAACAAAATCAACAATGCTTCTTTCATGGAGAAGTCAGAAATGCTATTCTTGCAAGCATCAGAAGTTCCAGTGACTCGATAACATCAGTAGATTCATCAAAACGTGGGGGAAAATTTGCCCATTTTCCAAAACAGACCTCATTTATACAGAGATGTTGTCCGCCATATCATTCATTCATTCATGATGCCACTGTGTTTGATGACAGATGTATATTTTTATAGCTGAGATTATTTCATTTTTGTTTTTAAATTTGTGAAATAAAGATTCTGAAATTGCTAGCATGGCTTTCTTAATGGCACCATCTGAATATGCCTTTTTTATATGATGCAAGAATGTAACTTAATTTGAAGGATGCTTCTGTGTGATTTTTTGCTTCAGTTTTGAGGGTGAAAAGACTGCTTTTAGAACAGGTTTCGGTGTTTGAACGTCGTTATGTATTGTATAGCAGACATGAGTCGATATTTACTGTAGAAATCGTTATGAATGGTTTTGTGATGATGTTCTATTTTTTGAGGATTTTGTGATGTTTCGTACAGCTACTGAAGCATTGCATAAATACACAAACTGCTTTTTCACCATCACTTGTAAATAAGAACTCTTCCTCTCATTCATTGTTGAAGTGGTTTTTCTCTTTATTCGATGCCTTGGCACATATGAACTAATTGACAGCTGCAGGCCAGATGGATGATTCATTCGGATGAAGTGGTGCCAGCTAAGAATAGGGCTTGTCTTAAAGCAGGCACTTTAATCCTAATCCACCATTCAGATAAAATCTAAAACTGCAAAAACATAACAGAATGAAGATAACACATGAGTAGGTGAACACAAATGCAGCGTCTTTGTACATGATGTGTAATTGTATCTTTTTATGGTTGTTTTTACTTTCTTGTACGAAGTAAAAAGGAAGTATTGTAATCGCGAAAAGTTTCGGACAGCATATTTCAACGAAAATATCCATTTTGACCACTATCAAATGCAATTTAAAGATGTTTTTGCATTATATCTATGTGTAAGGACAGAATAAAATACTCTTTTCCTCCAAAAAGTTATAAAACTGCTTTAAAATGAATTCTGAAGAGAATTTTTCGTGGCGTCTGTATGAACGTATGTATCTCGCATAACTCAAAAATGAGTAGCCTCAGAACGTTGAAATTTTGTATATAAGACTGCTATAATATGTAGATGTGCACCTCTTATTTTGGTTGCAATTGGCCGCACCAAACGCATTATATATCCACTCTGTTACCCGGCTCAGTAATCTCAATTTCTTTACTCTTATATGTTTGTAAATTGTACATTTTTTGCTTTAAAAATGATTGAATTATGTTGTTCTTATTTTCCGGTTAAGGTTTTTATGCCTTCAGTAAATCTGTATGCAATAATTTTAGAATTATCAACAATTTTAAGGTTCTTTAAGTACCACTAAGCCTAAGATTTTTTTTGATGGCAGCCATTGCTTGTTTACATTTGAAACTGCAGGATAGTGGATTTGTTGCCAATCTAGAGAAACTTAGCTTCGCAACAACAAAGATAACGCCTTCATTTATTATTGTCAATTAAATCATGCTTAATCCTTTCTGGAATTTTTTCGAGGAAATAAGTGTTTAAGATTTACTTCGTAATTTTTAATACAGATATTTTGACTTTTTATGTATTTTTGCCTTGTCGCCAAGTGAGAACTGAATTAATTGAATGAGAAATACTTGATTGTCTATGAAAAACTGTTTCTTTTTTTGTTTTGTTTGCTTAATTTATTTTTTACATCGTTCTAGATTTATTATAGTATTTGAATAGAACATATGGCAATGATTAGATAATTCTTTAAATGATATAAATTTTGTGCATTCTAAGTTATAATATGAATGAAATATAATACTGTTAAGTGAACCTAGCACCAGAGTGTCACTATGGTAAACAAAAATAGAGTGAATTTTAAAGAATGCATTTATTCTGTTGTGGTTTATGCGTTGGCGGCGAAGTAGATTTAATTCAATGCAATAAGTTTAAAGGAAATGCAAGAAAAAATGCGTATAATTTAATATTTCATACAAGGAAGTGATGTGATGTACACATCAGATTTTTTATATTAGGATTGTTATATAAGTTTTCGTTTGAGGGTGATGCTGTGTTTGTGGGTGGCAGGTGCTTAAAGTTAGGATTGCAGGGTATCGTGTACCTGTGAACCTTCGGTTGTATACAACTGCTCTAAAATATGGTATTCATTTTAATTTAGTATGTATTAATAATGTAGTATCTCAAACTACTGCAAAAATGAGGACTGTGAAGTCAAAGGTATGAAAACCTTTGTTTCTTGACTAAAATACAAACACACTATTTACAATAAAAATTGTCAACCAGTCAACATCATTAATCTTTCAGGTGGCACAGGTTTTTAGATCTGCTCACTTTTATTTAAGCAACATTTATCAGCTAAATTTGTATAATTACTTATTTTAGTTGGGCCATGGTGGGAAACTGAAGCATATCATAAATGATACACTGGAATTGAAGAGGTTAAATCTTCGGGCCAACTGCATGGCCTTTTTTGTGGTTTTCTATATGTTTAATGTGGATATGAACCAGTTTCTGTTAGAAAGTCCCCCACTTTACTTTTATAAACTTACACTATTAACGAAAGTAAGAAAGCAAAATATCTAAATTATAAGCGAATGTGTACCAAGTGACAGAAATCTCATGACCAGATAAAGCCAGTCATGCTGATTAGAGGGTTGTGGCATTTACAATCTCATGAAGAATTTTACTATTTTTGGAGGATTTTATGAGCTTGAAAGTTAAGTTTCCAAGATCAAGGAACATAATTTATTACTGCAGCCTTCATAAGGATGCACTGAAAATCATTTCAGTTTTTACTTTAGCAATTGATAGGCACTTAAACTTGTGATCCAGTGGTTGATAGATCTGCACTACGTCACCAGTTGAAAGTTTCTTTTGGTGCATAGAATTCGTTATTACATCAATAGGATCACCAGAATCACATTAAGACTAAAGACTCCTTCCCATTAATAACTGTTTTACTTATATATGACTCTTGGGTATTTTTCAGCACTGCCATGCAAAGCTAAAAGGGTCAGTTTCTCTCTTTTTTTTCCTTTCCTTTACTGCAGGCATGGGGGTCACAATGAAACCGACCCACACTCAAAACATACAAGAGTGATTTTAGCCATTTTTTTCTCCATTGCAAACATGAAAGTCGCATATGTGAAGACAGTCCATGCTCAAAACATCGGAGTGGTTTTCACCTCTCAAATTCTTTTGCCTTATCCTAATCCTGTATTATGCAAGTTATTCAGTAATTTCTTGAGAGACTATTAGGATACTCTTCATCTTTCTAGGTTCATTGGGTCTCACAACTTTAGAATCTCTGTTAGTAGCGAATAAATTTTTCTTAAAATCCTGCCGCATCATTTTGAAGTTATCTAACTTCTTTGCTAACACAAGTGGTGATTTAATTTTCCCCATTCATCTGTGTATTTTTCTTTGTCATCGGCACTCGCATACCTTTTCATTTCGTCTGTAAGTGTTAGTTCTTTCAGCTTAGTAGAAGCATTAACTTCCAACCCTTTTATCCATTGAAATAAGTCTGCAATTCATACATAAAAATCTTTCCATATGTTGTTTGGCCTCTTTTTATGACTTGCAACTTTTTGTGTAAAAGCCTTTTGTGTTCTGGCCTTAAATTTAAATGGTAATGATCCAACAAAAACCACTTGATTTGAGCATACTGTCATGTTTTTTCTGTTGTTTCACAAATTACTATAAGCTAATATCTGTTACCTTGGCATCGAATGTTGCCAAGAAGTTTTTCATTTCAAATATGTTTCAATGAAATTGAATATGTGACAAGTGTGGAGTGGATTCTCTAATGCTATTCATTGTTGTAATTTTTAACTTCTCTAGCTCATATTATCTTTCTGTCTCTCTTTTCCTATCGATAACAGTCAAGAACAGCTTTACCTTTTTCTTCTTCACAATCTTTACTGTTTAGAATAGCATTGCTTAATTGCACTTTATTCACTGGTCTATGTCAAGATCAAAGTTCTGATCAAATTGTAATGGCTCCTATCATTTTCCTGTGTCAATCAAGTTCTAGATTTCCTCTTAGATATCAGTTCTTAATTCAGTAGGATTTCCTTCATACTAAATTGAATTACAGTACTTCTAATAGTATATATGTGTCTTAATACACAGCATTTACATTTCTTAACCACTCAAAATTATGCTACAAAATTATATAATTTACTATATCAGTACTCAAATTTATCACTTCACACAGTGAGATATAATGTATTAACAATACAGATATCTTCTTATTCAGTTATTGTTGACATTCAGTATAATGCACCATTAATATGAAGTATCATTTAAATAATTCATAGAAAATTGCTTTCTCTTTTAACTTGATTTAATTACAGATTTTTCTCTGCCTTACTAAGTTAATACACTTTGAAGTTTACAGTCTTTACATACATATATATCAGTTACTAAGTATAGTTATTTATAATTTAATCTGATCAGTCAATCAACGATCAACTTATAGTGCAGATAAGGATTTGACAAATTTTGCAGTTTGAATTATATGCAGTTTCAACCTCCGTTCTAATCTAGATCCTTTAAAAAAAATTTTACCTTTACTTTCCCTTAATTAAGCCTCAAGATTATTAAGATTAACAACAAGTATTCATGTGTGTTGTCTTCTTGGCAGCTCACTTCACTACAGGGATCTTTGACAGATATTTAAGTGCAGAATTCAACTCCTGATGATCTGGCAATCGTACTGGCACTGGTGTATCTTCAGTGTTGAACTCCTTGCAGGGAAACTTCTAATTGCTATCTCAAAGTATTGGTACTCTCATCAGTTATGGAATTTTCATCAAGCACTGTCATACTTAAAATCTTTACACAATCCGTATCGCTGCCATCACCAATGTAAGTTTGTAAGATCACAGACTATCACAAAAATCAGGATTGTAAAGTTAAAGGCATGAAAAGCTTTATTTTTACACTAAAATACAAGCAAAAGGTTATTTACAATAATCAAAGAAACTTTAATACACTGTCGTTTCATGCAGCTTGTCAGGAACTTGTTTTCATGAGGCAAACAGTTTATCTCCAGAAATGAAAAATCTTTTGTCTGGTGCATGCACTGGAATCATGTCAACTGAATTACAATAGTAAGTTACTATTTGGACTACTATTTGAGTTGTTCTGGTGTGTAACATAGCTCCTAGTTCTAGAAAACCTGTAAGACTGATATTTTTAACAATACCCAAATTAGATCATTTCAGGTGCTATTAGATAAAATCTTTATGTCTGCAGGTTAAGGTTTTGATGGTTATTAAATTATATCATCATTGTTATGTACAGCAGTAATAAAAATTGCTGCATTATGTAATTCTGAAATGATCATATTATTTAAATGGATATGAGTAATATCGACAGAAGTAAAAGTTTTTAATAGTAAAATATAGCTTTAATCACTAAATTCAAAATGTTTAAAATGTTAAACCGAAGGACAATAATTTCTTACCTTCATGAATTCTATTAGAATTCAAAAATTAAAATATAGTATGAATTCATTCCTGTCTGCTACTAAAGTATTTAATTAAACATTTTTATATATGTGTTTATTTTATTACAGAAAAGTATCAGTATGTTGGTCGCCTTTTAAAACCCGGTGAAGAGCCTACTGATTATTCTGATGAAGAAGATACAAGTCAAGACCAAAACTCTCAAGATCCTCAGTCAAATACATTGTCTTCCAAAAAAGATGAATAACTTTTTGAATTGACTGTTGTAAATTTCCTTGCCATGCTCACAATTATGTGAATAAGCAGTTGATTTATAATTTCGTAAGGTTGTACAATCAGGTTATTGGAAGAGCATGGTCTTTAATTGCAGCTACGAAAGTTCTGTATTTCTTTTTTGTTGTGAAATTTTTGTAATTGTGTTTTTATACGGTAAATTTTTGCATTTAATTTTGTATAAATTGGTTTGGCATGTAAAAATACTTTTGTAAACAAGGACCATACCTGGTATGTTTTTCCAAAGTTTTATTTTTTATGTCTCAATTCCCTTATAGTCATGCCTGTGGCATTACAGAAAAAGGCCATATGTCCATAAGAGATAAATTATTTTTGATTTTAGAAAATGAAAAATTTTAGATTTTTAATAAATTAATGAGCATTCCCTGTTTCTTTCAGTTTTTTAAAAATAAATGCAGTTATGTGTGTGTGACGAAAGTGTTTAAATATGTTAATCAGTTCTAAAAATTTTCCAGTTCTAATACTTTAAAATTCTCATATGTAAATTATCCCCCTCCCAAATTCCAAAACTTAATAGATTCTTGTGATTTAGGGATGTCAAGATTAATCTTATGATTTTTTTCTTGATGGAATTTTCCATCAATTGCAATTTTTTTGACATGTTATGCATTGTAACAAATAAGTATTTTGAGAACATAAACAACAAATCTTTCAAAATGGTAGTTTTTCAGTGTTGATTTATTTATTATGTTACCTTGCTATTCCTAGATAAATTTTGTACTATTAGTAGTCTGATAGTAAGGTAATGGTTCTCAAATATATGTTTATTTAGCTTCTGGCAATATTTATTTGATTGAAACAAGTTTCATTGCTGAGTCCTCAAAGAACTTCTGTATAAGTTCCTTTTGTGCTTTCACAACTAATTACAAAGTTAATGTATATTATATACATCACTTTAGCAATACAACTGTATCAAATTTTTGAATGCTTGGAAAATAATTACTTGTTTCTATTTAAAAAAAGGTATTCTACAGTATGTTAAAATTTGCTGCATTTATACAAACTCTCAAATTTTGCAGACAAAATTAATATATGCTTAGAATTCTTACTTATTCTCACAAATATTTAACTACTTTTTTGGGGTGTAAAACTAGCCACAGTTTGATGGAACCAAAATAGTAAAAGCTTTTTTGCATCTAAAGAGCATTATATCACATGGTTTTGTACTATTTTTACTCTCCAGTTCCATTTGAGCTTTATGTCTATCTGATCAGTAACTTTGAAACATATCTGATAATGGAATACTGGTGTGGCATGCGTTTGTTAAAAATTTATCCATTTTTGAATTAGTTCTGTTTTTCAAATATATAGACTTCAGGAAGGGACAGAAATTCAAATTATTTGATGGTATGTGTTCTAATCTAAACATCTACATACAAAATTTTGAATCAGTTGAAGCTCATGTTTACACAATCAACAAGTGTATGAATGTCTCACTTTTGTTTAGAAGTCAGGATTATAAAAAACATTTTATAAAAGCTTATTATTAAATGAAAATTTAATTTATTACTGCAAAGCATATAATGGCTAGCTGCATAAAAAAAGGAATGCCTTTGTGAAGTGTTTTTGTTTTTAGGAAAATTTCGGGTTTCTCATGAGGAATATCACAAAATCATCCATGCAGCCAATCACTGAACATAGAGCATCTATGGGGGTTGTAAATTAAATAGTGACAACTTAACCTTGAAACTCGCAGAAGGGCATGCACGCGCAAATAGGATATTGGAGCGGTGAGGTGGCGCTGTTGTCGATGTGTAGAGTGCGAAAAAACAGTCGATCTGCTTAGAAGGGTAGTTGTTGTGTGGCGTTAAAGTGAGGAGTTTCGTTTTCATGACTCTAAAGCATGTTTTCAAAAGGGATCCATGGTCGTGGCATAAAATCGAGGTTGCCCGTGGCAAAAATGCAACAGAATGCTATCGAGGATTAGTGGAAGCCTGTAGCACAAATGCTTTACCATATAGGACAGTAGCACGATGAGTTCAAACATTTTGTTCGGGTCGGAATGAGACTGCGGATTTGCAACGCACAGGTCGGCCCTCCATTCCTCAACAGCAGATTGACATCCTGAGCGGTCTCCTTACAATAGAACGCCGATGGACTGTTCGAGAATTATCCTTAGAGGTTGGTCTGAGTCATGAAACGGTGTGGCACATAATGAAGAAATCTCTCAACATGAGGAAAATTACTTCCCGCTGGGTTCCACATCGACTAACCAAAGTACAGAAATGGCACCGGTATGCACTGGCTGGCACCCACTTGGAGAGATACCGCAATGAAGGAGACTCATTTCTGCAGCGTATTGTCGCCATTGATGAGCCTATGAGCCTAAATTAAAGCGTCAGTCAAATGAATGGCGTCACCAAGGTTCGCCACGTTCACAGAAATTTCGACAGGAACCCAGTCGGGTGAAGGTTATGCTGATTATGCCATACGACTGGGACCGTGTGATTTTTGCACATGCTGCACCTGAAGGACAAAATGTCAATGCAGATTACTATTGCCGATTTCTACAGCACCATCTGCGTCCAGCTATGCAGTGCAAATGTCCACGTTTATTGCACAACAATCTCCCTATCGTATTGCATTACCATGTCGCAAACAATGCCACTCTCCTTTTGCGACGGTGGCAGTGGGAAATCCTGGAACACTCTCCCAACTTGAGTCCTTGTGACTTCAATCTGTTTCCGAAGTTGAAGGAACTCCTCCGAGGTCACCGATTTCATGATGTTTCATATGTACTCCACTCAGTCGCTCACATCAACAATCAAGACCTTGCCACTGGTCTACAACGGCTTCCTAACATTTGGCAAAAGGTCATAAGTTTTGCTGGTGATTATATAGAAAGAATGTAATGCAGTTGTACTTTCAAGTTCATTAAAAATTGATTTATACTTATGTTGCCATTACTTAATTTACAGCCCTCGTATTAATAGTCAATAGTTTTATCTCTTTAACAATTGGTGTGCATTACAGAGTGAAAGATTTTTAGTATGCAGGGTATTTAAGAAAAGGGAGGGGGCATAGTCTTTGTTTTTACAAGTTGAGTGAAACTGAATGAATAAGTGACATAATTTGTAATAGTCAATCTAGATTAGAGCATCAACTCATAAGTTAATTTGTTGCCAGACTTCCTTTGTCATGCATCTATGGCTGCATTAAATTTCATTCATTGTTAATGAATTTTACACACACCGCGGACTCTGTTTAGCGAAATGACAATTAGTCAAAATGTGTTCGAACATGAATGAACTCCTCGTAGGCCAACTACATAACTCAAAGACCATTAGAAATTTTTTTTGCCTATTTTTTATTGATTACTATGTAATTAATAATGTCAATAATATGATGCAATTAAATCAAATAATCTTATAATGATTGTCACACTTAAGTGTGTTCAATTCTTTACCTTACTTTGAGAAACTTTGTAATTAGAAATACATGTTTAGGATCACTATTTTAAGAAGAAAAACATTGAAGCACCTTTGTTGAATGTTTTGTTTATAATATCTACATTCATAGTGTTTTATTCTTACTACAACTACTACATTGCAGTCTTTACTTGTATCCATAATAGTGAAATGATATCATTCAGATCACTTGTATTGTAATGAATGATTTTATGCAGACCTAGCTTTCACCTATTTTGTTACTTCCATATTTTAGTGAAGGTGGTAGTTGTATCATTGTTATTTCAGTGCTCTTGAAGATGGCAGGTGAACCAAAATTTGTAACATGGAAATTGCATTTGGGCATAAATGTATTTTTATTTCAGCAGCCAGTAGGAGGCTCTATTTTGTAATAGATTACAGCATAGGTTCTCCATTCCCTGTCAACCATCTGCCACAACGGCATCCAGTCACATCCCAAATATGTTTGATTGGTAGTTAGGGAAGCATCTGTATACCTTGCTGAGCATGTTGGCTGATGTGAGCAGTGTGTGGTCGAGTGTTATCCTGCTGATAAAGGACATTGGGCACTCCCACTAGCCACCAATCGACGGGAAATGGTTCTAATCAATATAGGAATATCCAGTTTGTCTTGAATATGCTGCAGAATGGAAGTAGAAGTGGCTTGCAGGTGTGCCACCATGTGTCGGTGAATGCATCAATCCATGTGTGATGTTACTCTGGCTGCACCAGCACCCCTCAAACTTGCCACAGCCTGCACACAGTGGACGTGTCTAGGTGTGTGTCAGCTGAGATTTGCCATATAGACCAACCTGTCCTTCTCAGTCCGATCATCATGCCCCTTGTAAAATTCTCTGCTATTACACGCGTCCTCTGAGAATTTTTTTTTGATGATTTCCCTAACAGAAATAATGAACATTCTGCAAGTTCCTTATATCTTCTATGTGTGCTGGAGAGCTGCACATTTCACATCATTTGCATAACTGTAATGTGTATCTATTCTGAAATTTGCATAATTTTTGGGCACTTAGAACAACACTTGGGTTCAGGGTCGTACATGTCTGCCTGAATGAATTGAAGCTAAGCACTAGTAGTTTGACTTGATCTGACTGTAATGACTGACATGTTTTTAGAGTTTTTTCCATGTTTAATGTAAATATGAGCCAATTTATCTTATCCGTGAGAGCATTTAGTTTTCCCTATGATTGCTATTACATGAAAAACGTTCTCATATGTTACTGAATGTAAATACAACAAAGATATATGAATTTATGGTTTTCAAATAATTCACTAAAATGTTTGTCCCCCCCCAATACTTTCGCTAAACTGATACAAATAAAATGTCAGATAACATGAAGACCTTTTTTCTAAAAACACATCATTCAGAAACTTGGAAGTAAATGTACTACGAGCAGACTTATCCTTTTGAAGTAACATAAAGACTTTAATGAATGAAGAATATGAAACAAATTTACAAAGACCGGAATTATCTTTTAACAGCACAAGAACATTACTGAATGAAGAATAAGGCATATAATACGGAGGGGAGAAGTCA